GGGCCCACACTATGTTTCTTTAAGAGTTCTTTTTTTTTCCCCCAATGATTTTTAAAAATACCCTATGTGGGTCTGTATCTTGGGATGTCATTGTCAGGAGTTCAGAGGCAGGCTTTCCCATTGCTCCCTCTTTCTCTCCTTTCATACCCCTTCCTCAAATCTCAGTCAAAGATAGCTGGTAGAGTTCTGCAGCAACAAGAGATCTAGCGCTCTCGAGAGGCTGCTTCTGCTAGCAGCCTGTCCTCGCCTGCGTTCCTCCTGGGTGCCCTCTGTCCCCATGGTGGGGGTGCCTCTGGCCAGTCCTCAGCCCTCCACTCCACCCCCGAGCCTGACTGTGGGGGTGGCAAGGAGCCTGGTCCCGGAGCTGCAGCCTCCCCAGCTTCCTCCCGAGTCTGCTGGGGCACAGGTGGGCCGTGATGCGTCGCGGCTGCTGTAGATGCCTGAAACCTCTGGAGCCCCCAGGGGGAACATAATTGGCCCTTTGAGTGACATTTCATCCTGTAACTTTTATTTGCACCTATAGATCCAGGGGCTAAAGTCAGAGGAGCCTTTACTCTATTATCTACAAGTGCAAATAGAAATCACATTGAGCTGTTGCGTTGAAGCCAGTTGTCTACTGTTATATTTAGGACAGGCTGCCCTGGATCCAGAGTGAGGGTTTCTTTCCTTCTCCCGTTAACGGCAGGAGTCACAGCCCCGTTTTTTTCTTTGGGGGCAGGGTCTTGGGGTGGAGGGCGTCTTACCAGGCCGTGTTTCCACAAGGGCCTGGTGTTTTGGAGAGCAGGTGTCCTGGTGCCGCTACCCCACTGTGGGTCAGCGTTTTTTCCTAAAGATCCATCCATTCATACAGCCCTGGGGTACAGGCCAGAGGGGCACAGGCAGTGAGAGGATTCATCAAAGACAGAACAGGAAACAGAACAGGCAGATGGATGAAGCACACTGCTGAGGGGAGCAGCGGGTGAGAGAGGGGAGGTCTGCCGCGCCGTGTGGGTCAGCTTTCTGGCCGGGGATCAGACTCCTGGTGAAGCGGCTGTGGCCAGCTTTGCAATGCTGCGCTTTAACCCGTTGCATCACCAGGGAGGGCCCCAGCATTAGTTCTTATCTGAGGGAGGCCAATCTATGTGAATAGCTTAGAACCACACTCCTTTAGGGGAGGAGCAGGCACAGATATTTATGTCAGCTCATCTGAGCTACACTTAGGGGTTCTAATGCTTTCCCTTGTTAGTATTAACTTCCTTGTCTTTTCCCCTCGATTACAGATTCTGTTTATTTCTTCCAGCCTCCCCCAACCCCTTTCCTCCCCTTTCACCTTTGCCATCAACATTGTCAGTTTTTAGCTCAGGGAGGAAAGACTCATTTGTGGCCACGGCGACTGTCTAAAAAGATGGTCTTTCCTGGCGGTGGCTGGCTGGACCTGCAAACTCAGTGGCGCCAGGACACCAAATCTAGGGGCCTCTCATTCCTCACCCTGGTCTCACCCCGACACCCAGACACCATATCCTGGGCTGCTGACTCAGGCAACTTGCTGAACGCAAAGCTCTCTGCTGCTCACGTTCTCTAGCAAAGTCAGTGTGGGAGGAGTCCAGGCCGCTGCTGCAGTGCACATGATGGCCTTTGCACGTGGTGATTGGAAGGGAAAGTCAGGGTCTCCATTATACATTATTTACTTCACACACAATTAGTTCTCCCTGGGAAAAGCGGCTTCTCGGCAGGGTCATTATTCCCACCAGTGAAATGCTGAAGACAACAAGAACCTCCTTGATCACACTAAATAGAATTCTGTGCCCCGAGAATTTGCTACTGGGCTGTACAGACTTCAAGACAAAAAGGCAGCTGCTGTCTTACAGGAGTAGGGATTCGGGATCCCAGTCTCCTGCTCTGACAGCTCACAGGAGTCTCTTCCACCATCAGCGTGATTGAGCCAGACCATGGCACATCATAACCTTCTCAGGCCTCCCACCAGCACCGTGGAAGCATCGAGGTGCCTCCTGTGCTCTGGCCCGCTCCCGGATGGAACATTGGGATTACTGGAGACCTTCAAAATACAAAATGTAAAAAGGCAGCAAGTCCCGGGCTCCACATAAATCTGGGTGCGGGCCCCAGGGACTGGTGTCCCATGAACATTCTCAGGCACAGTCAGGGCTGAAACCACCCTATGGGAAAGCCCCTGCCCTCCAGGACACCCTTTCTCACTTCCTGGGACCCATCCTACTGGCTTCCTGGGGCCATTTGCCCCAGGAAATAAAAGCAAATACTCGCTTGCAAATAAAATGGGAAGGAGGTAAAGAAGTCTCAACTTTCAAGACCACCAAGGCTCTGCGGCTTACAGGGCAGGGAGATAGGGGGTTTCCTAAAGAGTTTTATTGCTCTGTTTGCCTTTTTCAGTATAAAATATGACACCATGACACCTGCCTTTTTCCTCTCCTGTGTCACAGGCTGCCTAAGACCACTCACCTCTACTAATGGCTACGTGAACATCTCTGAGTTCCAGACCTCCTTCCCCGTGGGAACTGTGATCTCGTACCACTGCTTTCCTGGATTTAAGCTCGAGGGGTCCGAGTATCTTGAGTGCTTGCACGACCTCATCTGGTCGTCTAGCCCACCCCGGTGCCTTGCTCTGGAAGGTAACACATCTTACTCATTTGGACATTGAATTTTTTTTTAAAGATTTATTTATTTATGCATTACAGAACTGGGGTACAAGCCAGAGGTGCATGGGCGGTGAGAGGATTCACCAGAGACAGTGGGGAGCAGAACAGGCAGATGGATGAAGTACACTACTGAGGGGAGCAGCGGGCGGGTCTGGAGAGGTCTGCTGCGCCATGTGGTCACCTCCGGGGCAGGCAGGGATTGAACTCATGCAGAAGTGGCTTAAGCTTCTTACTGCTGTGCTTTAACCCGCTGTGCCACTAGGGAGGGCCCAGAAGTTGAATTTTAGATGATTCAAGAGGGTGTGTCCATAGGAAATAACGGTGAATTGCGGTCAGCAATAACTTTGGCTCCCAAAGGTGTGGGCTTTGCTGGCCTATGTCCGTGTCATCCACCATGAAGCCACATGTACAAGCAGACATAAAGCTTGCTCGGTTTCAAAGGGAGAGGGTACATAACAGAGAAAAGCTTCAAGCACCAAAGGTGAAGCTGCAAAATATCGCAGAGTTAAATGAAATGTCTTCAAAAATTAATTTTCTCTGCACCAAATGAAAACAGATTGGATTACGGCACCACTGATCTCACCCCTCGCTTTATTGTGTCCATGTTTCTTCCTATTTCCACGCATTTTACGGCTTGGCTGTAAATATTTTGCTTCAAGCACACACTAAGAAGCTCCAAACCAAGAGCTCTTTCTTCCCTCTTTTTGTTAACTTTGTGTGATTGTTTTATATCCCTGGAGATCACTAATCAGTAGGATGAAGTACCGAGGGAGACGGGGTGTCCCTTGCTGGAATCGGGGCACTGTTAGTAGGGGATCGAGGCCATAAAGGTCCCTATTAGGCAAGCTGGACATGCTGGCCTAGCCCTGGCTTGCCTCGGGCCTTGAAATTGTGATCACAGGCAACAAACCAACACCGACTTGCTTCTTGGCACTTGAGTACAGTGGACACGAGTGGGCGTGTATAGGAAGTGGAAAAATGAAAAGAAGCCTCCAATCAAGAGCCCCTCCAAAACCTATTTGCAGCCTTTCTTGGGAAATAAAACAAGAGACAACAGAATGTGGGAGCAAACAAGCCCCTACAGGCAGCCTCTCTCCGAGAGGTCAGGCTAGGAGGTTTGTGTGTAGGGTGCTGGGCTGGGGCATCAGAGTTGTCTCTTAAAGGAGACACACACGGGACTTGCAGTGGCATGGGGCCGCCTTGGGGAGCAGTGAGGGGAGAGGGAAGGAGGGAAGAGCCTGGTGTGTGGACGAAGGAGAACATCCAGCCCCCAGACTGGGCCACTGGGTTTGCTATTCTCTCAGGCTAGTAAATGGATCCTTCACCCACCCCCACTTCCCACCCATCCATCCCAAGATCTTTAGGGGATCAGAGACTGGGGAAGTCAGATACAAACTTAGGATGCTCAGTTAAATCTGAATTTCAGATAAGCAACATGTAAATATTTAATGTGAGCATGTCTGAAATACTGCATAGGATTTATGATAAACAAAGCAATTCTCCCCCCTTCCTTTTTTTTTTTTGATCTGAAATTCATGTGTCCTGTATTTTTATTTGCCAACTCCGGTGAACACAGCATAGAGGGATGAGTTCATCCCCTTTGTTTCCTCAGGGGCAGCTTCTCTGCTGTTGGGGCACCCCGGCCTGCCCAGGTGAGCGTGAGCCTCTCCTCAAAGGGGGTCCCTCTGCCCCCCAGAGGGCTTTCCCTGCGCAGCTGAGCAGAGCTGGAGGAATGTCTAGCATGTCGTCCTTGCGGTCTCAGTTGGAAATGCCTGTTTTAAAATCTTCGTAGTTGGTTTCAGTGTGTTTCAAGCAGTTGTGTTCAGACGAGCTTCATTTTGGGACTTTGAAAGCAGCTTGTAATACGCCTAGAGAATAGGCAGAAGAGAAAATCTAACTTCCAGAGGCGACAGCTAAGAGCGGGGCGCTGTGTGTGGCTGGCTTCTGACGGGAAACATACTGGGGAATACAAGCCCCTTGTGCTCCTGGCGCCTGGCCGTGTCCAGGGAGGGTGCTGCTGTGGAGAAAGGTCACTGGGAACCTGTCTGCCCTCCATGTAAAAAAAAAAAAAAATTTAAGCGTACCATCCTTCTTTTCAATTCCTGTCCCTTTTACCTACCTGATGAAATTAGTCTGATATAGTTACATGCAACACTGGCTACAAGAACCAAAGACGTGATAACCAAAAAGTACAGGCGGACGAAAGGACTTTTTTTTTTTAATAGGACATTTTTTGTCAAAAAATGTCAAAAGGACATTTTTTGTCCAAAGACTTAATAGAAACTAGGTTAAATTAACGAGTGGGCTCAAATAGGAGGCAGAAAAGGTATCCAGGTATACCTGGGTGCTGGTATTTCTTAACTCTTTCTTGAATTGCGTATCATCTCTTTAAGCATCAGAGGCTTACGCGTGTGGTACTGTCAAAGGGTGGTGAGTGTAGATGGAAAATCCTGCTCATACTCCCCACTCTGCTTTGCTCTCGCTGCAGGCACACACTTGATTTTTTTTTCTTTAATTTTTAAACAGTTAATTTTGTTTTATTTTATTTAATTAATTAATTAATTAATTTTTTATTGTTGTTGGTGGTGTAGAAGATCTGGGGTGGGAAGATTCACCAGAGACAGAGTGGGGAGCAGAACAGGCAGATTGACTGAAATACACTGCTGAGGGGAGCAGCAGGGAGACAGGAGAGGTCTGCTGTGCCCTGTGGGTCACCTCTGGGGGGTGGATTCCAACTGAGGCTGCAACAGTGATGGTGATAGTGCTGAGACATAGTCCCTATGCCACCAGGGAGGCCCTTGATTTTTTTCTTGATGGCACAGGACAAGCCATGTGCTAAGGCATCCCATGCTCTTGGGACTTTCCTGTATATTAGGATGTTCTGTCCCTAGAGGCTCTGGTTCTGGGAGTTGTGCTGTGGTTCCCAGCTGCACTAGGGAGCCCGAGGGAGACCCTGCCACCCACTGCCCACACTGCTGTCTCCTAAGTGCCCAGTAGCCTCCACAGTGGCATCTCGCTGCAGTGGAAGCCAGGCCCAGGCAGTGTCTCCTCTCACAGGCCAGGAGCGAGGCCCTTGAAAGGTGGGCGGCTGTCCAGATTCTCCATTGTGGGGTCCCTGGCTCTTTCTGCCACATCGTGCCTCTTCTCCCTAGTGGGCTGGAGGACATTTTACAAGCAGAGGCTTCCCTGGCACCAGTGTCGAATGACAGCTGTCACACTCACATGTCAACAGTCTCATAATTGAGGCCTAGTTTCATTAAGGACTATAATTTGGAAACAAAAGCTTTGGCATCGGCAACCAAAAGCATAGGTCTTTTGCTGCTTGCAGGGCTGTGCTGTGATGCCCACCTTGCTGAGAGTGGACAGTCCTCATGCATGTGGTCTTCCCAAAGCTATGTTGTGAAAAGCATCTGAGATCTCAAGGTCTTCATGTAGAATGACGACTGAGTCATTTCTAAATGGATGAGTATATAGCTAGCTCTGTGTGCATATATATGAACTTGTGTATTTATCAGCTCTAGGTCTGGACCTACCAGGAATCCGAGTTTCCTATACGCTGGCCTTGTTCCTTGTTCCTGAGCATCTTCATATTTTACTTACTGAGGCCTTTTGCATTTCTGAATTTCTTATCTCTGTCTGTCTCTCTCTCACACACACACACACACACTGAGTTCAAGAAATCTTTTCTTTAAAAACTCATTTGACAATGGCTATGGGCAGTTCCTCATTTAAAAGTGCTAGAAACTCAGTTTACACTGTCAGTAGTTTTCTCTGAACACATGCTAAGGACAGAGTAATACCAAATTGGGCTCTGGGGAATTGCAAATAAAGAAAAGAGCTTAATATCTTACTTGGAAGAGTGTACAGGATGATGGGGAGAACAAGATGGCAAATCCCGTTGTCTGGCGACAAGCCTCGTTCCAGATGGCAGGCATGTATGCACACAGCACCTTCACCAAGGGCTCACGAGTGCTTATGTGTTTGGAAAGGGTGGGAGGAAAATTCTAGTAGGCGACATCACCATTGTAAAATGAAAATTTCTATCCAAAGATATACGGGTCTTTTTGTTTCTTTACCCTGGAGGCCAAACAGAAGCCTATTTCTGGCTCCACTTGACTTTGGGGGAAAGAGAAAAAAAGGGGGCCAAAGAGCTCGTCACACAGATGGTCTCTGCCTTTTGAAGCCTGTGGCACTTACCAGGCTGGGCAGCCTGCGGAGTGCTGGCCCGGTGGTTTGAAGGCGGGAACGTGCAAAGGTATTGAGGGGCATAAAAATAAGTAAATGAATGAAACATGCAACTGAGTTATGGGGCGGGTGACACACACATGCAGGACAGTGTAGGAGGAGGTCCTGAGCCCCCTGAATCTCTAACTCTGGGTGCTGGGGATGCTGGCTGAGGGCAGCTATAGAAAAGGACTTTTTCTTGACATGGAGCAGAACCATCCTAAAGCCTTCAGCGTCCAGCTGGCACTACCTTCACCTTCAGCGTCTCAGGTGGTCTGGAAGCATCTGGTGATGGGAATTCCTGGGAGCAGTCTAACAGCGGCAGGGATCGCCTGGACCAGGAGGGCAGAAGGTCAACCCAAAGTTAGACCCTGCAGGCCTTGGTTGTCACCCGCCCACTTAAAGATTCCTCTGTTTCCCCAGCTGTTAGAGCACCGGTCAGTCAATAGACCTCCAGGGGAAAGAGAAAGGATCAAAACTAGAAGGGACCCGACATTCAGAGATGAGGTTTTGACAAAAAAAAAATTAATGGGATAGCCACTTTAAATAAAGGCCTGTGAGATGATGTCGCTAGGAAACAATTGTGTGTCCATGTGCTGAGTATTTTGCAAGGTACAGAGACTACAGAAGCCAGCAAGTCACACGAGGTCTTGAGTGTTGATCCTGAAATCACCCAGCCAGAGCCGGTTTGGAACATTCCACTTGTCAGTTATCAGGTAGATTATTCCCTCACCTGAGGCCACCCCCAG